AAAATTCAATTTACCCTTTCATCGCGCATAGAGCCAATAATGTATAATGAACGATTATGAGGAGTGTCACATAGTATTAGGTCATCATTTGTGAACGTGTCTTTTTCCTTGCAAGCACTAACTTCTTGAGGAACGGACTCGATGGGATTTTTGAAGATGGTGCCAAGGGTAAGTCATCACTCTTTTCTTATCAACATTGCAATAAGAGGTCGAGATATCATCATGGGAAATCTTCGTGCTGAACCAACTTCGCAAGAACTCCACCAAGGTCACTGGATGTCATGGCTTTTGATGGTAATGCAGCTCCACTTTTGCTTTCTTCATATGCTTAATTGGATGTTGTTTCCTTGATCTTTTCACCATCATTTGTCTTGTTGGTTGGTTGGTTGATTCTTTTTGCATACCTCTCTTGTGGCGTCTACGATGAGTTACCATCGTCATCAGATTGATCAACTTCCCCTTTGTTTTTCTCCGATAATTCTTCATCTTTACTTTCCTTGAATTTGCATAATTTATGTGGAACGGATGAGCCAAAGGAGATAGAAACTTGACTTTCACTTGCCTTCTCATGTTCAAACACAATTTTGTTTTCCTGATCCAAATCTATAACTTTGTCCTTGAAGCCAAAACTCTTCTCAAGAGGGTGACTTACAAGTTGATGATATTTGAGTAATTTGCATCATTAGTTTTCCCAGCTTCATTTGTACGTTTCTTCTCCTGAAATTCAATGAGCTTTAGCTCGAGGAGTTCTTCTAAAATTCCAGGCACATTAGAATCCAAAATGCGTACTCTTTTTCTTGAATTTCTTTTAGGGTCAACTTTCCACTTGGCTTATCTCGAAAAGAGTTGATTTCATACTCTACTTCTTGATTACCTTCGTCATGAACTTAACAATTGATGTATTGACATTCATAGCTTCTCTGCCTTTAGAGTAGGGCATGAACTTGTTCCATATTATGACATCTTACTTGTCAATACCTTTACAAAGCTCGTAGACCAACAACCTTCAATTTCCAACAGATGCCATGCTTAATTCCATGTCATGGGAACGAGTAAGTTCTTCGAATGACAGGCTTAATGCCTTGCAAGATGTAACGAATTCCCAACACATGCTTTGGATGCTCATCTCTATGCCAGAACCTTCGCTAAGCCTATCTTTGCAGTTGAAGCTTGTGTTCCTCCATCGATTTATAAAGTCGATAACTGATTCGTCCTTCCGTTGACAAGTATTTATAAGGTCTACTATGCTTACAGTGTGCCTTGTGCTATAAAATCGATTGAGCAACTCTTGCTCTAGTTGATCCCTGTTATGAACAAATCCAGCCTCGTGGTTTATATACCAATCAAAAGTTTCTCCTTCTAGTGAGCGGACAAACTTTTTGAAGATGTAATCTCTATAAGTCCCAGCATTAATGTTTCATGTCTCAGCAAAATGCGACACATGTTGCTTTGGATTACCTTTGCCGTCAAACTATTAAAATTTTGGAGGTTTAGCCCGCATGCATCTTTAACATATTGATCCTTGCAGGGTATGGCTTTGTGTATACAATGAGCACTTAGAAGAAACTTCTTAATTATTTTGACAGTCCTTTCAATGAATTCCTTTAGTTGATTGATTGGAATCATTCCTTCTGAAGAGATAGGATTTCCTTGGTGGACACAACTTGTTGTGGTGGAGGATCAATCTTTTGAACTTCTGGGCACTTGTCAGGTGCATTATTGGATTCTACTTCTATCAAGACTCTCACTCTATCTATTAACTTGTCAATTCAAGCAACTTTATTTTGCATGTACTTGGTCAAGCCAACAATTGCTTCTGTCAAGTTTACTAACTGCTCCTCACAAATGAAACATTTGTCACCATTGCTTGCATGACTATGGTGGATGACAAAGAGGAGAATATATTGTCACATAGATTGATACTCAATAGGCACACACTATGTGGTTTAAATGTGGATGAAAAATCATTCAAAGTACCATCATCTTCGTTCATAGCAAAGTTCTTGGATCCGGAGAGGTTAAGCAAAGCTAGAGTCTCCTTAATCATTTTTGCAATATTGCTTCCTCCTTCAAGTGGGTTTGTAGAGGATCTCAATCCTTTTGGGGATGAAGATCTAAAAACATGAGTTGATACGGAAGACACTTGAAGTGTTTGTTGTCCTAGAAAGCTTGCTTTTCTCCTTGTAACTGGTCTAAAGCTTTCAAAGATAACATCGAGGATACTTTTCACATCAATGTAGAACGTGAAATTAGCAACATCAGATGACATCGATTTGGAATTGATCTTCTATAAAGCCATTTCAATGTTCTTGAACTTTGATAGTCGAAAAGATGAGATAAGAGGTAGGGATGGGTGCCAGAATTTGTAGACAATATTGCAACAATCATAGTATTTTTATTTCAAATAATTTGAGTGTTTTAATCTCTATGAATCATCTGATTCTTCTATTTTAAGATAAATTCAAGAGCCTTTGAGCTTGGTTTTAAACTTATATTTGTTGCAATGAACGATGATCTTGAGCTTAACTAGCACGAAAAGATGATTCGAACTCGCACTCCTTGAACCTTGACCGTTCTTTGTTCTTGAGTTTGAACTTGATTTCTTGAACTTGTTTGCCTGAAGCTGGAAGAAGCTTGTAGAGAAATTTGCGGCGTTTGATCCACGAGCTCTCTCTTACTTCTTGTTATGATTTATGGTGTCTTTTCTGAATTCTGAAGAACCATATTTATAGTTGTGGGAGAGAAGAGTTGAGATGAAAATAAACTCTTTCCAACCAATTGGATTGAAGCGTAACAAGATCGTATTTGATTGGCTGTAATATATTACTTTTACACGTGGCAAAACTTTACTGGCCTATTAGTTTAACTTGGCATGCATTATCATTTTGACACGTATCATGATCGTATTGGCTCTTCCATTTGACTTGGCATGCCATGTCATTTGACACATGACACCAAATTAGGCCTCTAGGAAAATGACATCTCGGGCTGCATGAAGTGGACTCATCATTTGTAGCCCAATTACATGGGGTAGGAAAATTGATTTTGCCTTATTATTGGACTTAGATAATTAATCTCATTAAATTAGCCCATAATATTTATTTGTACCATTATATCTCGAGTTTAAGATATAGTCTAAATTATTTTATTAATTTAATTCTAATAAAATTTATATGTATTTAGTTAGACAATACAATAACAAGTCTATTTTTATTAGGGAAAGTTACAGAAATGTCCTAAAAAAGTCCCAACTTATTAACCTCTAGCCATTAATTATAGACTTACCAAAACTAGCCAAGCACATATAAAAATTTAAAACTTAAAAAAAATAAGATTGTTTTCTCTCCAAGAATCACTCACAAAGATCTCCTTCCATATTTTTAAGCGTGATTAGCAACATTAGATGCAAGACGGAAAGGAAATTTCATGGATGATGTAGCAAATAAAGTGATGAAATACAATATATATATATATATATATATATATATATATATACACAAGATTCTAAAAATCTAAGAAAAATGACTTTTTTCAATGGGTATGATTGAGATTCATTGAAAACATATAGATGAGTCAATATACAAAATTTGAGGAAGTTTGGAGTTGATTTGGACTGATTTGGTATCAAACGTTGTAGTTAAAATCGAGTTCATATTTGTTTCTGCGAAACATGTATCAAACATTTATCACACATATATCTCACATGCAGATATACATGGATATACATATGATACACATTTGATATAAATATGATACATATGTGATACACAGTGTGATACACCTATCATTTTTTGCATGTTCATCTTCTACTTCGAATTTTTAATTCAAACCACCTCAAAACTCCAACAAATCATCCCAAAACTGAGATTCAAGTTTCTTAAGATGTTCCCAATCTATTCTAACAACACCCACTTAAAAGAAAGCAAAAATTTAATCTTTTTTGGCTACAAATAGCTAATTGGCTAATGTCGATAATATTTGGCTATATTAATAATATCTTATAAATTGGCCAATGGTTATAATAAGCTATTTATAAACGGACATAGCTAGTAAGTTACCTTTTTATTAGGCTTAGATTTTGTACGCGGTGAAAGTTAATGGTTTGACCCAAAAGAACCTTATGATCTTTTCTCTATGTCTTCTAATGTATTAGAGGTGATAAAGTTCATCGATCAGTAATGTCATGCAGTACAATAGATGTAAGTTCTTATATGCTAACAAATAACATAGACGCACTAAGTCTAATTAGGGTTAAATTTAAGCGGATACATGTGCTAAATATATCAATATATAAGTTGTTACGTAGTAGTTGGCTTAAAATTTAGATGGCAAAGTAAGCTCTTCACCATTATGTCCACAACTAAACAACGTGCGACTTGCCCTCATGTTTATCATATCGCTTCGGTCCAACTTCATGGAAAAAAGATTCTAGTCAACCGCCCAAAAGAACTAGTATATATTTCGTAATGTCCTCTTAAATAATGATGTGATTATACTACTCCCTCCGTTTCAAATAAGATAAGCTACTTTTCTTTTTTGTTTGTTCCAAAATAAATGACACATTTCCAAATTTGGAAATAATTCAACTTTAAATTCTTTATTTTACCAAACTTACCCTTAATAAAAAGCTTTTATAACCACATAAATTTCATGGTCCCACAAATGTTTTACCCCTTAAGCTTTTAAAACGACAAATTTAAAAGTCTTCTTCTTTTTCTTAAACTCCGCGCCGAGTCAAACTATCTCATATAAATTGAAATGGATGAAGTAATATTTATGTTGTTGTCTAACGCTTCAAAAATGGAGTAGGATTTAATTTATATACTCCACATGAAAGTCACACGAATAAATATAATAATAAGTTATTGCCATCAACGTCGAGCTAGCTTATAAACGCACGAAATCTTGCTAATTATGCCAATATATAAGGGAGGGATGTCTTGATCAACTAATATATATAGACTAAAGAAAATAAGAACAAAAACATTCCAACAGAAATAATGAAGTCCACTCTATTAATGTTCATGATTTTGGCTTTGGCCAATTTTACATGTAGAGTGGATTCCCAATTAGCCAAGAACATCTTCTTGCTAGGAGGTCAGAGCAACATGTTCGGTTTAGGAGGTGTTGTAAAGAATAGTTGGGACGGTGTCATTCCTCCTGAATGTAAACCTAATCCGGCCATTCTCAAACTCGACGCCAAGTTGCAGTGGGTTGAGGCAAAAGAACCTCTACATAATGATATTGACACGAATGTGACATCTGGGATAGGACCTGGGATGCCATATGCGAATGCCATACTGAAAAATGATTCGCGTCTCGGGGTATTGGGCTTGGTTCCATGTGCAGTTTCAGGGAGCAAAATAACTAACTGGCAAAATGGAACTTTCCTCTATAATCAGTTGGTAAGAAGAGCAAAGGCTGCTGTGAGAGGTGGGGGTGTTATTAGAGCTATGCTTTGGTATCAAGGGGAGAGTGATACAGTGAGGAAAACGGATGCTGATGCATATAGAGGAAGAATGCAAAAGTTTGTCACTGATTTGAGAAATGATCTGGGAATATCAAAACTTCTGATTATCCAGGTAAAAAGTTGGATCTTCTGTTTAAATTTTAAATTCTTTTGATGCATGGGTATACATGCATATTGGACCATGTTTGCCTAATAATGTTAAATTTCACCTTTGCAACTCAAATATTTTTGTTTGATATTTATCTTTTTCATTAAAATAATTAATTTTATGGCATCCGTTGGAAAAAAAGTATCCTAGCTAACTTCAAGGGGGGCAAAGTGAAACTTAGGCTAGCTGCAACATTAAAGGGATTCGCAATTTCGCATTGGTTAACACACACATATATATACTGGGTATATATAACGGGTATGATGATGATGATATATATGTGTGTTGTTATAGCAGTATATTGAGGAACTTAGTAAATACCGATGGGGTGAAATTTTTTGAAGACTTGAATGATGGTTAAGTACGTTTGATCTACTTCAAAACTCCACTTGTGCATTATGCGGATATGAGATAAAAAAAATTATTTCAAATACCAGGAATAAATGTTGCTTTTATTGTCTATGTAAAAATGCAAACTAATTTAAAAGTAGAATACAACACGTTAACAATATGATGTCAACAAAACCTTGACCTAATAAAATGTTGACTTTTACATCTGGTTGAAATTTTCAGTTTTTATTTGACAGAGCTATGCTTTCGACTAATACTTAAATCAAGATATTATTGTTCTCAGGTCTAATTTCTGCGAATCAAACAAATTATGCAAACCATATTAAATTTTCAAATTACAACATTTAAAAACTGATCAGCCTATTGTATGTAGCACTTTGATGTTTATGAGATTGAAAATATGGAAGTTGAACCTAATCTTTACTTTTTTCTTTGGGCTTGATTTATCATTTTTTATTATATAGGTGGCTCTTGCTTCTGGAGGAAAGCATTACACAGGAATAGTGAGGGAAGCTCAATTGAAACTCGGCCTCCCTAACATAATTACTGTTGATGCTCAATGGTTGCCTCTTCAAAAAGACAATTTGCACCTTACCACTCCTTCCCAAGTCCGCCTAGGGGGAATGCTTGCTGCTGCCTTTCTTCGAACCCTCGAAATCAACTAACCAAAATTCATTGAAATATTTCAATTGTCTCCTCAACTTGTATATAATAAAAAGATTTAAGATATTAAAATTTCTTGCGAGCTCATAAATACTACTTTCAATGGATGGTCGGCAACTTTAACATGCAAATGTAACGCTTGGATATAACAAAGTTATAGCAACATTAATTTCGAGTATATGGAGAATAAGATTGGGGAGAGAACTTCTCCCTGTATGGTTAGCTTTCTGTATTCAGTTTTCCAGTAACGGAAGTGTTTAAAAAGTATTACTACTACAGGGTATATACTTTTCTAAAACAGGTACGTCACTACCGGAAAATGTGTCGATGGCAACGCATGGATGACCGTTGCAATAGATAGGTAAACCGTTTCCATAGAGCTATTGCAACGGTTCAGTGCCCGTTCCACCAGCTCGCGTGCCAATAGAGTTTAAGGAACTGTTCTTGAACGGTTCATATAACCGTTGTTATAATATGGTCTATCGCAACAGTTTTTCCTCTCACCTATTGGAACAACTATTCGTATCAACTACAACGGTTAAAATATGTTACAATAACATTTAATGCAATGGTTGATAATCGTTACCATAGCGTGTACTGCAACAATTATGTAAGATATTGTTACGGCTATTCATGGAAATTGCAATGATTTCTTTAAGTTATTGCAACGGTTGAACTACCTACCGCAACGGTTTATAGATCATTTTGGAACGGTTTACAGGTCCTGTTGCAACGATTTATATTTTTTATTGGAACGCCATATGATTCCTATTGCAATGGTTCTGGTGGGCTATTGTAACAGTTTAATTTAAATAAACATATTGCCCCTGTTGCAAATAAATATTTACATATAGAATAAATTATAAAACACAAAAACTTATATAAAAAACAAGTTTCCAGTCCTACTTCCTCTCTCTAAAAAGTTTCTCTCTACAACGTCTATTTTAGCACCCATGTTCTAACGAGTACGGATCATGCTCTACAAGATGGAGCCGCCGGAAGGCATCCCTTCGGCGCGTACGGTTGTTCTATCGCCCACATCAGGCGAAATAGTTCCCAGAGAAGTCACAAAACAAGGAAATATATCCTATGCTAACACCATCAGCGCCCCATCTTCATCTTCTCAGATCCCCAATCCAAGCTCAAACCAACAAGAAAAAGAAAAAGTTATTGCAAGATACACGACTCACAACGACATGCCGGTGGTGATTTTCAAAGCTAAGGACTACTATGACATAATGGCAGATTCTTGTAAGTGTACAATTGTGGGTAGATTTCTTAGACCACGCCCCCAAATTGATCGAATTAGATCAAGATTTAGGAAAATTATTCCCTTAAAAGGGACGGTCAGAATAGGGGTGTATGATAATCATAATGTCTTCATTGATCTCTTTAATGAAGACGACTAGAAATCAGTATGGTTCAGATGAGTAATTGAAATTGATGGAATGCAAATGTGGTTACAAAAGTAGTCACCGGACTTCAAGACAGAGGAGGATTTACCAATCACTCCAGCCTGGGTTCTGCCGCCCTCCTTACCTTTTCATATGCACGATTGGCATTACATTGAGCAGCTTTTGAGCTCTGTTGGTACTCCACTTACCCTAGATGCTGCTACAATGGGAAGAACAAGGCCAAGTATGGCCAAAATTAGAGTGGAGGTCGACTTGCTAAAGTTGTTACCACAGAGTGTATTTGTGGGACAGGAATATGACGAGTCGTCGCTAAAAGGTTATACCCCAAAAATTAGAATATGAAGGCATTCTGAAGTATTGTAAAAATTGTCGGAAATTAGGTCACTACATAGTCAATTGTAGGGCTCTAGAAAAGAAAAAGACTAATCAAGAGAAGGAGGAGAGTGAAGGTGATGAGATTACCAAAAATGAGGAAGATGCACAATCGATGAACAAAATGATAGGAAACAACAATAAAGGCAGGGAGGAAACAATTCAAGCTGATTCACACAGTGTCGATATTTGTAAAATGCAATAGGAAGATTGCCTAGACAATAATAAGATCATTAACAACAAAGAGGAGAAAATCATGAAGAAGAGGACTAAAAAGAAGAAAGCCAAAAAGATGCCAAAGAAGAAAAGCAAAGTTAAGTTCAAACATGCCCAGAATAATAGCAAGAAGAGCACTGTCTCTAGATCAACAAGCAAACAAAACGATCAATCATTAGCAGAAATTAAGGACAATATACAGATTCATGAAGATCAAAAAGCTTTAGATGTACAGGATGAGGGGAAACATAATAGTTCTACTGGAAATGGTAGAATAGAAGGGCTAGAGAAGGAGAAAGCTCCTAATATACAAATGGAGGAGGGAAACCAATCTTCACAAGATAAGGAGACTAACAGGAAGGAAGAAAGTAAGGCAGAGAAGAATAACAAGCACGCTCACTCTAACTCAAACACCTCTACTGTCCCAACAGAAATAAGAAATTTATCAGGTATAAATTTAGTTGTCGACTTGGATGGCAAAGAATGGGAGTATGAGGTAAATGAAAGTAGTATTAACAGATTCGACAAGAACGCCAAAAGAAGCAGTGACACTGAGAATGAAGACATAGATGAGGTTACGGAAAGTTAGAGAGATGATAATCTATACACTAGTACAAGAGGGAGAAGTGAAACACGAAAAAGTAGCAAAAGTCAAAGAAACAGAACCTATCCTTCACATAAAAGGAAACAAAAAGAGGATAACATCCCAAAGTGTTTTTATGATTAGTGCAATCTTCTGGAACATAAGGGGAGTGAGATCCAAAAAAGCCATTCACAGTCTTAAAAGACTTACTGACATCAACAACACTCATTTCGTGGCTATCTTTGAACCTTTTATTTCAAAAGAAAAGATAGATGGTTACATGAGATTCTTAGGATTTCAACACTGTCACTCGAATGGTAACGGAAAAATTTGGTATTTTTGGAACTCTTTCAACAATAAAAAGTTCTTCTCAGAAAGTGATCAACACATAACTATCAAGTTGGACAAGGCCATTATCAATCAATATATTCTTATTACGACTGTTTACGCTAAGTGTAATTCTATAGAAAGAAGAGATCTTTGGTCCTCTTTCCAACAGGATAGTACTATGTTGAATGATCTTTGGTGTATCGGGGGTGATTTTAATATGATCCTTGATCCAAACGAAAAATTAGGGGGTAAACCTCATAGAATGTACAAAAGCATCGATTTTCAGAATTGCATGGATATTTGTGGTATTACAGATATTGGCTACTCTGGGACAAAGTTAACCTGGTGCAACAACAGGAGACCCAAGAAGAGGATTTGGAAGAGATTGGATAGAGTATTTGTGAACGATCTGTGGGACAATCTGTTCCAAAGATGCTCTATTAGGCATATGGCAAGAACCAGATCTGATCATAGACCTTTTCTCATAATGAATTTATCTACTAATCACAATTGCACTAGATACTTCAGATTCCTCAACTATTGGATCAATCTGCCAGGCTTTTATACTATTGTTGAGGATAGTTGGAATTCTAATGTTAAGTGTAATCACATGTGGATCTTGCAAACAAAATTGAAGGCTCTCAGTAAAGATTAACCCAATGGTCCAGGGAAGACATAGGTGACATAAATGATGTTGTTACCAACTGGGAGGAGAAACTACAATTCCTAGAGGATAAGGACATTGAGGAAAATACTAAATTGAGCAGAGAAGAAGTAAATAGGACCCATGCTGAATATATTAGATAGCTTAGTATTCAAGAATCCCTCCTTAAGCAGAAGTCTAGAATAAAATGGTTTGAAGATGGTGACAGGAATACCAGGTATTTTCACTTCATTCTCGGGGAAAAAAGGAGGAAGCAACAGGTAAACAGAATCAAAAATCACAAGGGTAATTGGATTATGGGGGATGAGAGAATTTCTAAAGCAGCAGTCAGACACTTCAAGGCACAATTCAATTTACCTAAGCCAAACCTCAACCCCTCAATTTTTGAATGTATTCCAAAATGTATCACGGAGCAGGATAACTCAAATCTCAATCAGATGCCTGATGAAGAGGAAATTAAAAATGTTGTTATGAGCCTTAGTGCTGATAGCACTGTTGATACCCAATTTTTTCCTATATATTTTTTATATGCATAAATACTTTCAAAATAGCATATATATATNCTTTAAATTAATTTATTTCTTCCTTTTTTACATATAAAAATTTCAATAATTATCCTTCAAATTATTGTTATGATAATTTAATAATCTAAATCCTATATTTATGCCAAAATATTGCTTAAATATTTTTGTGCATTTCTCTTATAATTGTATTTATATTTTTAAAACTAATTTACATATAATTGCATTATTAGCCCTATTAAGGTATAATTACATTTATATGCATAAAATTGATCTTATATATTCTTAAAATATTAAATATTTTTTTTAAATCATTTTAGTACACGATTTTTTTTAAACCATTTATTATTTATTATAAATTATATAGGGTTAAATTGGCTATTTAAAACTTAGCCAAATTGGATTTCAATTATAACCTCAATTAAACCCAATACCCAGCTCAATTTCAAGCAAAATTACCTGACCCAAGCCCTAAATACAATTACTCGACCCAAAACCCATCAGATCCTGGTCGTTGATCTAAAAGATCAATGGCCCTCATTTATTCCTTCCCTTTTTAACTCTGAACGACCCCTAACCCTAATCATTTTCCACATACTGCCGCCCTAAAATCCTCTCTACTCTCAGTACACTCTCAACCTAACTCTAGCCCTTCAATCGCCGACCTCCCATCTCGGTCATCTCCGGTGACCTCTCATCGTCTCCTACGCCTCCAATGGCTTCTCTCATGCCATGCTTGCCTTCTCTAAGGTCTTCAAGGGCCTAGGGCCATGCCGACTTGCATCTAGGGTTCGTCGCCTATCTATTCTTGGCTACTCCAGTGTGATTTCAAGCAAAATCATGTTGTATTTGCAACGATCCTTAAGTTTTCTAAGCAGGCTCTTCATCCCTATAAGGGTTTCTTTCGAAACCCTAATTTCTTTTCTACGCCTCCTAGGACGATTTGAGTTTGTTTCTTTAATATTTTACAACTGTCCTTGAGATTCTTTACAAGAATCGTTGATTTTATGTGTTTTTCACCTCCTTCTAAAATTAGGGTTTTTAGAACTTCTTTTTTAAAACCTTGTTTAACTGATTCTTTATGTAAAACTTCTATTTCTTGCATTATTTTAACTGATTCTATGATTTTACTACATCTTCAACTTGTCTCTGTTGAAAGCCCTAATTTTCTAGGTTTTTTCGTTTGGTTCTGTGTATCAGCATGACTGACCGGTTCTTGTTTGAGTTTCTGCGATTATCTTGCCTCGAATATGTTTCTACTAAGTTTCTTAGCCTAACTTACATCAATTCTATGTGTTTGCGTTCATCTTGACTGTTCAAGACTTGCCTCTTTCTATCATTGATGTTTAACCTTCATGTTTGCTAGAGCTACGTATCGACCTCTGGTTATTCTTATCTTACTCTATTTATATGCTAAAACATTGACTCATGACTCTCTCTCTCTGATTGATTCTGAGTTCCATGTTTCTTGGCTTGATTTGAAAACTTTCCTTTAGACCTTCGATTTTTCCTGTTTAAACTTGGCTTATTTACTTATTTACTTATTTATGGGAACCTATGTTATTCTCCTTAAATTAGTGTTATTTCAAGTCCTTGATTCACCGATTTGCTATATGCTAATTCTCGATTATGTCCATATTCTGCAACCTTATTTAGTTTTCTTACCTTATTTGGGTTAACCGTGTTATTTGCTGATTCTTCACTAACTGTTTCCTTAATTGAACCCTTGTATATTTACCCCTAATTGTCTATTTTCTAACTAATGCCTTACTTGATTTCTTTCTTTAAACATTTTCTGCCCATTACCGTTGGTTAATTATCCCTTAATTAAGGGAGTACTTGCATTGATTTGATTCTGATTAGTACTTGGTTCCATAATTATTGCTGAGCTTTGATTCTTGCCTTATTTTCTGCCTATTTTAAAACTATAAATACCCTACTCTTTCACTAACACAACAAACGAACACATTGGTTCAAAAACTCTCTTTCACACTATCACGACCCTAAACTCGGACCCGGTCGTGATGGCGCCTCTCGTGAAGACAAGGCTAGCCGACACTTGCCCATTTCAGTTTTAAGCAGTTAAAAATGAGAATTAAGTCTAAAACATGATAAATGACCCAACATTTAAGTAGTCAACAGTACAATATGCGAAAGAACAACCCAACATAGCCCGATACCGGGGTGTCACTAGTCATGAGCATCTAAAAATCCAGAATAAGACAATAAAGTCTACAGATTTCAATACAAATCCAAAACAAAGAGAAGTAAGACAAGGGAAGAAGCTTTGGGCTGCGAATGCCGGCAGCTACCTAGAGAATCTTCGGATTTGCCTAAGCTGGAAAGATCAACACTCGGGAGCGGGACCAGATGTGCCTGAATCTGCACACAGGATGCAGAAAGTAAAGTGAATACTCCAACTCAGTGAGTAATAGTCATAAATAAACTACTGAGAGCATGAAATCACGTAAGGCACATTATAGGCTATAATGAAGCAGTAAAACATGTAAGACCAGTGATTCAGTAAAGATATTTAAAATCATATAAGTTCAGTTTAAACTTCAAGAATTCCTATTCAACAATTAAACATTTAAATGACAGACAAATAAGACAGATAAGCACATAAAGGATTGCCCCTCGGGCTAAAATGTTAACAATACCAGCCCCTCGGGCTATCTCTCGCATCACAATGGGTACCCCCGCTCGTTAGGGGTGTGCGGACTCGTGGAGGGGCCCCTTACGGCCCAAGCGCAATATCAAGCCATCTCGTGGCATCATCACTAGGCTCTCGACCTCATATCAACAAGCCATCTCATGGCTTATACATCTCAGGCCTTCAGCCTCATAATCATAGTCAATATTTCCTCACAACATAGGCCCTCGGCCTTACTACGTAAAAATCCTCACAAGCCACTCGGTAATATTAAAACATGACTCTCATCCCAAAATATCATTTGAATATCATTTAAGTGTTAAATAGAGTAAAACATGGTTGAGTTGTGAAAACGGTGAAATCTAGCATGACTGAGTTCAAGTATAAAGATAAAACAGTGAGGAAATACAATTAAAAATCCCCTAAGGGTTCAAATAGTTGGCACGAGGCCCACATATGGCATTCCGCCCAAAACATGACGATAGCAAATAGATTTTAGTCAAATAAGCGGTAAAATAGACACTCGGGACAGACTAAGTCACAATCCCTAATAGTGCACAACCCCACACTCGTCATCAAGCGTGTGTGTCACCTCAATATAGCACAACGATATGCAATCTGGGGTTTCATACCCTCAGGACATCATTTACAATCATTACTCACCTCAATCCAGTCAAATCTCTAGCCCGCGATGCCTTTGCCCCTCGAATTGGCCTCCACTCGTGTTGAATCTATCCAAAATCAGAATCACGGCATCAGAATATGCTAAGGGAACAAATCACAAGCGAAAATATTCAATTTACAGCACAAATCCAGAAATTACCAAAACCGACCCCCGGGCCCACGTCTCGGATTCCGATAAAATTCACATCAATGGATTCCTTATCACTCTCCAAGTTCATACGTACCAAAAGCATCAAAATCCAACCACAAATTACCCCTCAAATCCGAAATTCTAGGTCTCCAACTTCAAGCCCTAGTTCTTCAATTTTAGGCTTAATTCCCATAATTAATTAGGTAGATTTCACATTAGATGCGAGTATTAAGTCCATGAATCTTACCTCCAAGTGATTCCCCTTGAATCCCTCTTCAAAAAACTCCAAAAACGCTCAACAATGGTGAAAATAAACCCCAAATCGCGGACAAGATGACTATTTAAACATTCTGCCCATGCCTGAAATCCTTCTTTGCGAACGTGGTCAATGCCTCGCGTTCACGAAGCACAAACCAACTTTGACCAAAAATTACTCTTCGCGATCAGAACCTTCCCGTCGCGAACGAGATGCTTTCCTCAGAACACTCTTTGCGATCGCGTTACCCTTCTCGCAAACGCAATGAATAAAATACCTCAAGCCCAACTGACCACTTTTCTCTATGTGAATGTGGTCCCCTTCACGCGAACGCGATGACCAAACACCCAGCCCTTCGCGAACGCGAAGGCTTAAATCCCAGCCTTCATCAGCTTACCCTTCGCGAACGCGAGGACCCACTCGCGAACGCGAAGGTCATTTCTCTATAACACTGATCTGAAATTTTCTACAATTCCAAACATCATGAAATGGTCTGATTTACCGCCCGAAACTCACCCGAGGCACCCGGGACCTCAACCAAACATACCAACATATCCCATAACCTTATTCAAACTTGTACCAATCTTCAAAACACCTCAAACAACATCAAATCAACCAAAACACATCGGATTCAAGCCTAAGTTTCCAAAATCTTTCGAATTTCGCTTTTGATCAAAAACCCAACCAAACCACGTCCGAATGACCTGAAATTTTTCACACATATCCCAAATGACACAACAATACTACTACAACTCTCGAAATTCCATTCTGACCCCTATATCAAAATCTCTCCTATCAACCGGAAAATGCCAAAAATCCAATTTCGCCAATTCAAACCTAAATCTACTCCGGTCCTCCAAAACACATTTCGATCATGCTCCTAAGTTCAAATCACCTCCCGAAGCTATCCGAATAATTAAAACTCACATCCAATCCCTCTAACACATAAGTCAACATCCGGTTGACCTTTCCATTTTAAGCTTCCTCAAAGGAAACTAAGTGTCTCAAACCTTACCAAATACTTTCTGAACCCGAACCAACCAACCCGATCACTCACAGAACTGATAGACAAAGCATTAAGAAGCAGAAATGGAAAAAACGGAGCGATAACTCATGAGACGACTGGCTGGGTCGTGACACACACTCAAAATTGTTCTACTCTCTCTCTCTCTTTGGTTACTTGCTATTATCTTGAGTTAGCCGGCTACAAGCCAAGGCTAACTATTGTGCTTTCCTGTTCCTCTCTTTGTGTTTACTATCTCTCTACTAGTATGTTCTGATTTCAATTCAAGTCCCAAAACCAATATCATTCTTTTACTACTTCAGTTTATCATGTTTCTAATTTGTTTCTATCTATGGTGTTGTTGTTCAACATGCAATTTTCATTTTTACATTACTGCTTCATTTAGCATGCTAGTCTACCCCTCTTAGGGACATTCAGAACATGTTCTACCCCCTCCCCTAGTAGTCTGACTCAATAAAACTTTTTCAAACTATGTCAAGCACTCTCACTCTACTCCTAAGTCTCTAGGTTCTGCTCCATCCAGTGTTTGTACTGCCTTGGCATCCTTCTGAGATCCCTATGAACTCTGGCACACTGAGGTTGGCCCTTCCACACTACACTTACTCAATTTGGTTTCAAAGTCTAGGTGTGAGCACTGCCCGGGATCCTTGAAATCCTTAGGGAACTCTGACGCACCTAGACAATGACATTGTCTACAAAATTGGCATTTGAGGCTATTGGAGGTTTGGGAAATCACTTGGGCCTGCTTCAGGCTCCCTATAATGTAACTTCTTCTTTTTCTTTATTTATGTAATTCATTCATCTGGTTTGTAATAATTTGTAAACGAATATTGGGGTGATTAGTGAAAAGGGGTGGGTAGTTATTTATTTGTTGGGTAATATGGGTAGAAACCATGCCTATAGGATTATATATATATTTGCTATGTCTGACCTACCATAATAGAAATCATGCCTATAGGATCATTTAATATAATTTTTATGCTTGCCTCACCATGCTAGAAATCATGCCTATAGGGTTAAATGGTCCCAACATGTCTATAGGCTTTATAATCAAGTAGATACCCTACTTAAGCATGTGATCAAGTTCAATTTTATGTTATAGTGGGTAATTACGTTTGTTTCCATTAAATATCATGCAAGTTTCTAATATCAGCTCTTAACAACTAGATATCATGCTTATTAGGAACAATATCAGAAATTCTGCCTATAGACCCAAAATTAGTTTAGTTTAAATAAGTTAGTCCAATTCATGTTAGTTTACTTCGAAACTGGCCTAATCAGTGGTTTATTTTCCTTAAATGATTTCTTTGAAGTACTGCCCTAATTTACTATTAGAAAGCATGTGTATAGGAATTCAAGGGTCCGTTTTAAAATCTGCCTACTGTTTTACTAGATCAAACGTAGTTATCATGCTCTTAGGATATCACTATTCATCGTTTAGGCAAGCCTATGGGGTATTTTCAAATCCTGCAACTCTGAAACTGCATTTCTGCTACTTAAAGTTGTTCAGATTAAAAAAATTTAGTCAGTAGGCAAGTTAAATAGGATCATTCACATATTGGCCTAATTCAGTACTTTATAACCTCTACTTACTTAGATATTATGTTCTAGGATTTGTTTTCTTAAGTGTTGAATGTTGTTTGAAGACGTGCACTTATGTGATATGCTTGAGGAGGTAACTGTGAGCCTTTAACTTGCTTTATATGCAGTCCTAAATTGTTCTTGCCTGTCTCCTAGAAGTTTCTCTTTTTAAGCACCTTAGGGGTTGTCTAGAACTACCCAGATTTAGAGGTCCTAAAATACCCCCAGGGCAACAAGAAAGGGACAGGTATTGCAAACATAGGCATTATCAAGGTTACTAGAATGCTTTAGGCTATGACCAAGGGGTGGGAAGGGTAGATATGAGATATGATAACTACGCGCTAATGTCACGTGTATCCCCTCATTGAGGAGTGTTTATCGGGTATTGCATGGGGTGATCCTAATGGCTAACCAACCTAGGACCCCTCCTTTCAAAAATCCTTTTGCTTTACTTTTCCTATGTGTACACAATCTTTGTCTCATCACTTGAATTATACATCGTCCAACGTGCTTTACTTACAATTATTTGTTTCAACTACTTATTTGTCAAGGGACTAATTCATAAATATAAGTTCAGCCAGGACCCACAATTGTGAACCAAGAGGGGTGCCTAACATCTTCCCCTCGTGGTTATTTCGAGCCCTTACCCTAAATCTCTGGTAATGCAAACCAATCCAGGAGCTAATCGCTCTAGGTGCCCTAATGCACCATAATCCGTCAGGTGTAGACTCTTCAAAATACCCAATTATCAAAATAAAATAAGTTATTACCCCCTCTATAAATGTCTAAACCCGAACCTTTTCTTCCCCGTTAAAAAGGGAGGGAGAAAAAGGGGGCGGGACAGCATGGAGACTCTGCTGGGGATACCTTTTAGGCTCTTACCATAACGAACTTATTTTATGAATTAGTCCAAGTATGCTTTATCTCGTACCCTTCTCCCTTATTTGAATTTAACCGCCCATTTTATTTTAAGCATTTATGATTCTTTATCCCTGAAACTGACTTGTCTCTTTGTTTTCTTTTTCCTGTATCTGTCTTTCAATTATTTAAATATTGTATTTATTTTTCCTACGTGCAAATACTTGACTACATGTTATTAATTGCTGCATAAATCATGCTCCACATCATATTCCACTCATGCATATCAAATCATATAGCAACGCTTTAATGAGTGGTTGCGCTCTTCCTATTTACAACCCTTAAATTCGGAAAGACTTATTTGCGGTAAAACCAGTCGATCAACGGTGCAGTCGACGGTTCCCTGCCTTCCCCCTCAAGTTGTCTACTTGAGGGTACTAGTGTAAAACCTCATAGTAGCCTTACTCTGGTTAAAATTGTGCATGCATCATGGTCAAACCTAGTCGGATCAATATGCTATCCACGTAATGATCCTTTAAGATAAGCCTTATCCAAAAGTCCATCGGGTTTTCCATAATCCCAACGGACACAACCATGTTCTGTGCATTAATTTGGAGAACTAAATGACGATATGTTAATCATAAATGTATAAATAGTCGAGTCTGGTGGGGGTAAGGCCTAAACCTTTTTGTTTTGCAGAAAATGAGGCACGAGGTCCCCAGATTCGGTATAATTAGCAACATCCCACCATTGTTGGTAGATTGGTGGGAGGACCTTTCCTCAAGTGACAAGAAACATGTGAGAAAGTACCTGGTTAACCTGCCTTCCTTGCTAGATATTGAGCCAAACAACAAATTGATTGAGGCTGCCACTTTATTCTAGGATAGTGAAAGGGCTGTGTTTCGTTTTGGCGACATAGAAATGACACCACTCCTAGATGAAATTTGAGGGCTTGCGGGATTGACTTGGGATAGTCCTGGGTTATTAGTACTAGAAAACCGTACTGGCAGGGGATTTTTAAAGAT